TAAAATGAATAAACTTATCTTGCAGAACAAACACAACCAAGTGAACAGGGTCTCAACTTAACCCATTGAAACGAGTTACCCTCTTCGGTAACAGGCCATAAGGGCGACTGAACTGGCCTGGACACACGACCCGACCTCGTCACAGTCTGCTTAGTGAGTGGAGGGTCATCCGCGGCAGCCGCCTGACTAGCCGGGCCAGCTCCCGTCAAAGCAGGAGTCAGGGTCTGACAGTCCATCACCGGAGGTGTCTGTGTGCTGACAGGCTGCGCTGCAGTGGGGTCATAGACTGGCTCCGGCTGCAGGTGATGCCTGTTCCAACATAGCATGCCCCAATCCATTGTGCGCAAGATGTAGGTTCTCGGAGTGATGTGCTCTCCGGTGATGACTGCCGGTGAAGCCCACAATGCCTGATTGTCCAGCTTGGACAGCACTCTGTCCCCAGGGCGCAGAGGTGGCAGTGATCTGGATCCATGGCGACGATTGTAGTAGTAAGCCTGCTTCGCTTTTCCTCTCCTGTCGTTCTCTCTCACCACGGATTGATTGGGCCACTTGGGTCGGAGATTTTCCTTCAGGGTGGGAAGTATAGTGTGCAACTTCCTTCCTAACAAAAGCTCAGCAGGACTATAACCTGTGGTGGAGCAGGTTGTGGATCTGTAGACCAGCAGGGCCATCACAGGGTCCTGTTGCTTCAGTATTTTTTTGGCTGTTTGTACGGCCCATTCTGCATGGCCGTTACCTTGTGGGTGGTGAGGGCTCGAAGTGCAGTGCTTGAAGTCCAGACTCTTGGCGAACTCCCGGAACTCTGCACTCGCGAACTGAGGCCCGTTATCGCTCACCACCTCATCCGAATCTGGCAAAAACAGTCTTAAGGTTCTGGATGACCTGTGCACTGGTGGTTCTAGGGAGACGCAGTACTCCGCCACGGCATTAAACCTCATCAGTCTCATGAGGAGACGCTGACACCAGATTGGGACGTTGTCTTAGCTGCGGGAGTTGATGAGGGGCACAAGCAGTTCATGTTCATGGGTGGAGAGAGTTGTTGTATGGCGTTGATTTTGTCTGGATCGGGTCGGACTCCAGACTGGTCAATTAGGTGCCCCAAAAAACGTAGTTCTCTCTGTTTAAACGAACATTCTCGGTTGAGTGTCAGGCCGGCGCTATTTATGCACTTTATCGAGTCGGCTATCGTGCTCTTCCTCTGTGGCACCAAAGACCAGGACATCGTCCATGAACACCTTTACTCCTTCCAATCCCTGCAGGGTCTCTGTCATCTTCCTCTGGAAGATTTCAGGAGAGCTGTTTATTCCAAAGGGCAGCCGCTTAAAGTTGAACCTGCCGAATGGTGTGATAAATGTGGTGAGTTTGCAGCTTTCTGGGTGCAGTGGTATCCGGAAGAATCCACTGGCTGCATCTAGTGAGGTGAAGAGTGTTGCACCACTTAACTTAGCTATTATTTCATCAGCTGTGGGAGAACAAACTGCTCTCTTTTGACTGCTTCATTCAGTCTTTTAAAGTCCACACCGATTCTAGCTTTGCCAGTGACTTTTTTCAAAATGGGCACCATTGGGGAACACCATTCCATGGGCTGGGTCACTTTCTCGATTACTCTGTTTTTTCCATCCTCTGGAGTTCCTCTTTAACTTTAGGCAGCATCGGGAGAGGTACCCGCCTAGCAGTAAACATGGCATACGGTGCAACATTTTCTTTCAGCTCTATTTTCACTGGTTCTGTTTTTAAAGTTCCATAGTCCCCAAATGGCCCCCCACATGGCCAGGCCTGCTGTGAATTGCCTCCTCAATTCTTCTCACCAGTTTCATTTCCACAGATTTTTCTCTGCTCAGCAGGTTGTTCACTGATCTCCCACGTGCAGCATACGCTGTGAGTAGGTATTTCTTGCCTTTGTAGGTGACTGAGCTCTGAATTCAGCTGATGCATTTAATCTTCCCCCCTGGGCTGTCCAATAGGATGTGTGTTGGCTGCAGCAGTGGGCTAGGTGTGATTGACAGGTAAGCTTCTTCGCTTATGATTGTTACGTCCGCCCCGGTGTCTATATTAAACTCCACCAGCGTTGAACCTTTCAGCAGATTGATGAACCAGTGTTCATTCTCCACCGCTGTCTTGTTTACAGCTCCCAGGAAGTATGATTGAGGTTGATCAGCTACAACCTCAGTTACAACCTCAGTTACAACCTCTCTCACTTCGGCACATTTTTCTCCAGTGACCTACCTTCTGGCAGGAGTTGCATGTTGAGCCTCTGGCTGGACACGTTTCCTCTGCTTCGTGGCCAGGTTTCCCGCATCGGCCACACTGCTGTCGTTGCTGGGCTTTGTCTTTCGGCTTGTTGCGGGGTGTGCGGTACTTGCCTCGGTTTCTTTTAACCTCGTTCACTGCGCCTCCTGCCGCTCCACCTTGTAGGTTAATTTGAGCCGTTATTTCCTCTGCTTGCCTCACTGTCTCGATAGTAAATGCCAGAGTCAAGTCTTTAGCCAGCTGTAGCTTGTGTGACACTTCCTTGTCCAACACGCCGACAACTATCCGGTCTCTGATGTTTTCATCTCTCACCGCTCCAAATTCACAGTGTTCCTACAGTTCGTATAATGCTCTTATAAACGTCTCTGCTTTCTCACCCAGCCGTTGTGTGCGCTGGTGAAAGCATGTGCGTTCATGTATGACGTTCCTTCTGGGAATGAAGTACTCGTTGAACTTAGCTAGCACCCGGTCAAAGTCGTCTCTGTGAGCCACGTTGTCAACGACAAAGGACTGGAAGATGTTTTCGGCTTCCTGGCCCATGGCGTATATCAGAAAGCTGACCTGAACTGCTCCGTCATCTTTGTCTAGCTTTGTCGTGGTCCAGTAGCGGAGGAAACGTTGACGCCATTCTGGCCAGTCCCCCAGCTTATCGAAGGCAAAGCTCGACGACGGATTGAATTTGGCCATGTCACCTCAGTAGCTCCTTCTTCCATGTACTTCTGACACCATGTGAAGTGAATGAAGATACTTGCTGTACTGTTTTGTTCACTTCACTAACAGCTCTAACACACGCACACTACTACAGCTTCAGTTCCCCAACTTCCGGGTCGCCGTAAAAATGTGCCACACTGCATGTCGCAAAATCCCAATATACACTTGACTAAATCAAAACATTGGTGTGTGCTAACACTGGATATGACAGCCACCACCACCATTTTGACCATGTCACAGGCTTTGTCAAACTCAGACAATTCCAAAAAAGGGAAAAGAGGCGGGGCTGTAAGGCTGGGTTCAAATGATGACACCGGTCGAACTGAAGCTAATGTAGCTACAAGCTAACCGGAAGCTATCCCAAAGTTAACGTGGAGGTGGGAGCTAAGCTAATGGAGGTAGCTACCTAGCTACAACCAGAGTTAACTGTGCACAACACCAGAGCTTCTGAGTCAGAGGTACGCCGGGCTGGCCGCTGGGTAAAACCGGGTGGAACACAGAGGTCTCCGAGAGCTCCACAAGCCGGCAGCCGCACAGCAGACAAGCGCCGCTACGATCAGAGATGTGCCGAGCTGCCGCTGAAGGGAGGGAGTCCCTACCGATAGTTGGAACGCAGCTCCACCAACATGTTATAATTCAACCCCATTTTCAAAAATGCGGCGTTATGTTAAATGCACTGGGTTTTACCCTATTACATTTAAATTTCATGGTTAAACAGTACATGTTAAAATCTAAGCTCAGCTCGGCAGTGACCTAAACTACATAAATACAATTTTACTTACCAAAAAAAATTAAGTGGAGACTCCTTGGACGCTCTATTAGTGCAATTAATGCCACAGCAAGTCATTTTGTCCAACAATTGCACAAAAAATATCCAAAAAGAACACACAAACGGCACAACTAATGGTCTAAGTTGAGAGACTGAAAATGGCGGAACAGTTTCCAGGCCAGACCGAGGCTCAGACTGAGGCCTTTCCCCGGAGCTAGCTCTGTGGTCACGTGGGTCTGATGCTCATTAATTATACAGAATTTTAGGCTTTTAATACACTTAAACAGAAGGGTGAGAAAAAAAATTCACCCCCCTCAGAGTTGTCATGAGTGTAAACGAGATCATTTAAACCAAAAACATGTTTTGGTACCAGGCTGTAAACATGTTTATTTCTGCTGTGAAATTGGTATTTTTAACATGGGAGTCAATGAGGATTTGCTCGCTTCTGACACCAGCCCCTAGTGGATGAGGGTGGAACTGCAATTTATTTCACTTCCTGTTTTGATTCATATCCTGACCTGAATTATGGGGGCTTGGTAGGTGGGTGGGTGCTTGGGTGCGTGTATGCTTAGATGCATGCGCACGTGCATGTGTGGGTAAGTGCATGCATGGATGTATGCGTGCGTGGGTGGGTGCAAGGGTGCATACATGTGTGTGTGTGTGTGTGTGTGTGTGTGTGTGTGTGTGTGTGTGTGTGTGTGTGTGTGTGTGTGTGTGTGTGTGCATGGGTGGGTGGGTGAGTGTATGCATAGGTGCGTGTGCGTGTGTGTGTGTGTGTGTGCGTGTGTGCATACATGGTTGCGGCGGTAGATGCGTGTGTGCGTGGCTGAATCTCACCTGGAGGGAGAACATTCTGACCCATTGTTTTTGAGGCTGCAGGGTTTATGAAAACAGATCTGAAATAACTGGGGAAATGTTTCAATAGTTTAGTATAATCCACTTTTGGTATCACACAAATATCAGCTGATTGCAAAAACATTTCTCTGACATTTATTGGAATTTTGATTAAACGTGTGTGCTTCAAATAAACTGTAAACAAAAGGATGTCCATCTGATTACAAGGGTTAGGGTTGATATTAGTTTGGTTTATTTATACAGCTCTGATTCACAACTAAACATTACTCTATAAAAACAAAACCAGATTCTGATCAGATCCAGATTCAAGCTGAATATAATCAAATCTAATTAGTTATTGATTAGTTAATTTTCCCCTACATGCGTAAGCTCAATCATCCATTCTGAGGTGCTCAAGAAAATGTTTATGTTTATGTTTATTTATTTAGCAGACGCTTTTATCCAAAGCGACTTACAGTTTATAACCTATAGGGCATGTTGTGATCTGTGGGGGAAACCGGAGTACCCGGAGGAAACCCACGCATGCATGGGGAGAACACGCAACTCCACGCAGAATGAAAATAGGAAGGAACCTCCGCCAGAACCAGGACAGACTGACTGAGAGGGTATGAATGAGACCCAGACCCAGAAAGTTTGGACCAGTCTTCATTTATATAGAAGATAAATCAAGAAAACACAGTTGATACCAGCAGTTTCAGTAGACATAAACATGGAAATTAAGGGCAGCTGAGTGAGTAAAGACAGTGGGGTGCAAAGGTTTGGGCATGATTCTCCTGTATAAATCATTGATTGTTATGATTAAGAAAAATCCAGTTATATCATAAAGGAGACACATGGTTTTATTTGAAAAGTGAAACAAAGTTTATAGGATTTACAGAAAGTACCATAATTGTTTAGACAGGTGTATAAATTTGGGCACCACAAAAATAATTAACTAAATATTTATAGATCCTCCTTTTGCAGAAATACCAGCCTCTAAACACTTCCTGTAGCTTCCAGTGGGAGTCTGGATTCTGGTTGAAGGTATTCTGGACCATTCTTCTTTACAAAACATCTCTAGTTCATTCAGTTCTATTTCGTCTAGTCTTAGCCCTTAAGCTAGCTGCTATTGGAAGGATGATCTCCGCATCAGCCAATCATGAAGAGCTTAAATGTACGCCCACCAATAGTGGGCCCCCCCGTGGTATATAACCGCAGTGACCCCACTGCTCACCTCCTCCTTTTTCTCTTCATGCCAAGCTTGAGAGCTTTATTAAAGAGCAAATATTATCCCAAAAGAGCAAAATTATCCGAAGACGACTTACCAGCCATGTCCAGCGACGCCAGACCCTGCCCGACCTGCCAGACGGGCTCCATTTCCAGCGGCGACCTGCACGCTAAGTGTGAGGTCTGTCTCGGGGCTCACCACGCTGGCCTGGCCTTGACCCCGCAGGCCTCGTGCCCGTTCTGTGCCGCTCTGCCCGTGGCGGAGAAGAGTCGCCGGGTCGAGTACTTCACTCCCGCCGCCGACGAAGAATTTCCGGTGGCTGACTCCTACCCGCTGGACAAGGCTTTGGTTTTCTTCGACGCCGGTCAGGAGCCGGCTGGCTTCAACCGGCTGGATGACGTCACCGACAGCGAAAACTACGATGAGGCGGCATCCCTCCTAGACATAACGGAGGTCGACGAGCTTCGCTCAGCGGGTCCTTCTGCCCCAGTGGCTTCTCGCTCCTCCCTGCCAGCAGTAAGAGCACTGCTCCAGGAGCTGCCCGCCATCATTTCTGCGGCAGCAGCCCGCAAGGGGCTAGCTGTGCCAGAACCGGCCCTGCCTGAAGCGGATGATTTGGCGGGAATTTTCGGGGCAACTCAGACACGCTGCCCAGACCCTATCTGGCCGCGTTTCCCCGCTGCTATGAGCTACTGGTCTGCCGCCTTCTCCGAGCCTGCCAAGCTCAAGGCGCCAGTCTCCATGTATGCGCCCATCACCAAGGTCGAGGGGTTTTCCGACCAAGGCTGGCCGTCCGTTCCTCCGCTAGAGCCGGATTTGACCTCGCTGTTCGGCGCCAAGAACCACCTCGCTAGCCCGCGAGCTGTTCCCGCTTCAAAACATGACCAGCTGCTGACGCGGCTCACCGACCGCGCACATCAGTGTGCCTTTCAGACCGGCGCTGCAGGGAATAACATCGCACTTCTTGCCTTCGGCGTCTCCAAGATGATGGAGGAGCTGGAAGCTCCCGAGGAGTCGAAAGCCGTCATAACTAAGACTGCTGATGCTATCCTCAATCTGTGTGCTGCTGTGCTCACCGGTTCTGCTCGCATCGCTGCCTGGCAGACCCTCATCCAGCGAGCGATCTGGCTGAAGGCCCTGCCCTCCATTCCGGAACATCTGCAAAGGGAGATGCTGGATGGCCCCATCACCACCGATGTTCTGTTTGGTCCCCATCTTAGGGGCGTCATTGAGAGGGCTCAGAAGACGGCCGAACTATCGGCTACGGTGCGAGACCTGGTCCACCCTCGGTCAGGCTCGCACTCCGGCCGTTCAGCCAGAGGATGGGACGAACGGCGCGGAAGCTTCAGACGTCCAGCTGCACCGCCCGCTCCACGGAGCCGGCCTCCCGCTTCAGCTCCACATCAGCGGGACCAGCGAGATGGCGGACAACGGTTCCGGCGGGGCCAGCAGACGCCGTCTTGGCAGACCCAGGTGCAGGAGCCTCGCCGAAAGCAGCCACGGAAGTGACTCTTTGGGGGGAATGTGTGTGTTACTGATTGTTCTGATGTTGTTGGTTTTGAAATAAAACCCAAAAAACGTCACTCAAAGAGCACAATCCTACAGTCCTCCGCAGAATCCTCTGCCGAGTTTTCACACATGTTCCCCACACCAAGCACTGCTGCACGCACACATGTTCCTGCAGGTAGTCATAATACACGGCCAGCCGTAAGGGTGCGCTCCATTTGCGCTCCGGCCCCAGCATCCGGCCAGGCCCAACTCTTCCCGCTCTCCCCACGCCATTGGGTGGGGCGGGATGTCATGTCGCTGTCTCGACCACGCGCGGCGGCACAGTGCGCGGCTCCATCCACTGGCACTCTGTCGCCCCTGTGCATAGGCCCGGCTCCTACTCGTCCTTCACTCTCGGACTCCACGCTCCGCGGTGTGGACCAGCCTGTTCCAGCTGTTTCGCACTCGCCCTTTCGAGCGCAGCCCTCCATGGGTCGCCCCCAGTTCTCTGGTACGGGCGACGGCGGTAAGGGCGCATGCACAACCCTCAGACGTTGTTCACGTGACCGCGCACACGCGTCCACTGTCGGAACGCGCGCACGAGTGGCGCCGCCTTTGCATCATGAGCAAATGGATTTCGGACACCATTCATTGCGGTCACACACTTCGTTTTCAGGCCACTCCACCTCCCTTCAACGGGATCGTGGAGACGACGTTCACATCGCAAGTACAGTCTCAGGCGCTAGAGCTAGAGCTGCGGGAACTTCTGTCCAAAGACGCTATTTCCCGAGTCCCTCGCGGACAAGAACTCTCGGGTTTCTACTCCCGCTACTTCGTAGTACCGAAGAAGTCGGGAGGAATCAGGTCGATTCTCGACCTGTCCCTGTTCAACTGCTCCATAGCAGTAATGCATTTCCGCATGTTAACGATGAGACAAGTCCTGGAATATGTGCGCCCCGGGGATTGGTTCATGTCAATCGACCTGAAAGACGCATACTTCCACATACCAGTAGTTCCAAACCACCGGAAGTTTCTGCGTTTTTCGTTCAAGGGAGTTCAATATCAGTTCAATCGCCTCCCTTTCGGCTACTCGCTAGCCCCGCGCACCTTCTCCAAATGTCTGGAGACCGTGCTGCAGCCACTGCGCACGGAGGGAATGAGGGTCTTATTTTACCTGGACGATCTTCTCCTGTGCGCTCAGTCCAAGGACGAGGCGTCACAGCAAACCAGGAGGTTGACAGGGCATCTGTCAACCCTAGGGTTTTCTATAAACTGGGAAAAGAGCTCCATCCTTCCATCCCAGTCGATTGTGTATCTCAGGGTGGAGTTGGACGCCTCCCTAATGAGAGTACGTTTGTCGCCTGCAAGAGCGGCAGATCTCTCCACGGTGATCTCCCGTGTTCAACCCCGCAAGATCGTGAGAGCCCGGTTAGTCATGAAACTCCTGGGCATGATGTCCGCAGCCCATTCAGTGGTGCCGCTAGGTTTGCTGCGCACGAGGCGCTTGCAAAGCTGATTCGTCCGCCTCCGGGTACACCCAATACGTCAGAAGAGACGTATGTTGAGGATTCCCCCTTCAGTGGGCGGGGACCTCGCTCACTGGGGGAACCCCTGCATCCTCTCACGCGGGGTTCCCATCGGACGTCCTGCGTCACACGTATCTGTGTTTACGGATGCGTCACTGTCGGGGTGGGGGGGCACATGCTTGTCCCATACGGTGGCAGATCGCTGCCCTCCCACACGCACAAGCACATAAATGTGTTGGAGCTTATGACAGTGAGGAATGTGATCAGACACTTTGCTGCCCTTCTCGAGGGCCGTCATGTCGAAGTTCACACAGACAACCGGGTAGCGGCAGCCTACATAAATCGCCAAGGGGGAGTTCGATCCCTCCCACTGTTGCGTGTTGCCACAGATTTACTGTGTTGGACACATGTCCACCTGCTGTCCATCAGAGCCATCTTCATTCCGGGGGTACTGAATGTAGTGGCAGACATCCTGTCGAGAGGGGGACCCCGCGACTCCGACTGGCGTCTACATCCTGCACTGATATCACAGATCTGGATCAGGTTCGGGGAACCGTCTGTGGATCTGTTCGCGGCTCGCGAAAACGCTCAGTGTCACCTGTGGTTTTCCCTGAGTACCCGGGACGGACCCCCGCTCGGGGCGGACGCCTTCTCACACCAGCCCTGGCCTCGAACGCTCCTTTATGCGTTTCCACCAGTCCCTCTGGTTCCCCGTCTCCTGGACCGAATTCGGTCGGAACACCTCTCGGTGATTCTGGTGGCTCCCAGACGCGTGTCCGCGTCATGGTTTCCGGACCTGCAAGCGCTAGTGTCCGGCTCCCCGTGGAGGCTCCCGTGGAGGGCGGACGCCCTTGTCCAGGCGGATGGGATAATTAAACATCCTCCGGAAATAGGCCAACGGCTGTGGGTCTGGCTGCTGAGCGGTCACGCTTAGAGGCTTCTGGGCTGCCGCATGATGTGGTCGCCACGATTCAGAGTGCGCGGGCGCCCTCTACCATTGCGTCTTACGCTGCTAAATGGGAAGCTTTCCAGAACTGGTGCGCAGAACGGAATGTTCAAGCGCTCTCCTGCCAGCTGGCGGATGTCCTATCGTTTCTGCAGATACTGATGGACAGGGGCCTCGCATTCAGCACTGTTAAGACATATGCTGCAGCTATCTCATCCTGTCACCAGGGTTTTGGAGATAGATCTGTTTTCAATCATCCCCTCACAAAACGTTTTCTAAAAGGTGTCAGGAGGAACAGACCTGTGTCCCGCCCGCTTTTTCCCCAATGGGATCTAACGGTGGTTCTGCGCGGCTTAAAACTGCATTGCTGCTGGTGCTAGCATCAGTTAAGAGAGTGAGTGACCTAACCGCCCTCTCAGTGGCTCCCGCATGCCTCAGGATCCGGGAGGATGGCGGGTCTGCTGTTTTATGCCCCAACCCAGCCTTTGTGCCCAAAAGCATTAATGCTTCCTTCAAATCCAGGTCAATTTCATTGGCTGGACTTTTTCCTCCTCCCCATAATTCTGAGGAGGAGGCGGCTTCTCACCTTCTCTGCCCGGTGCGCGCGCTTGCACGATATGTGTCACGCACTTCAGGGATTCGTCGCTCACAAAACCTGTTTGTGCACTACAGGGAGTCTTCCCTTGGTCAGGCGCTGTCGGCCCAGCGCCTTTCACGCTGGCTGTGTGACGCCATTTCCCTCGCTTACACATCATCAGGGCAGGATCCCCCTGAGGCACTCAGGGCTCACTCAGCCAGAGGGATTTCCTCTTCGATGGCGCTCCTCAGTGGTGTGTCAATGGAAGACATTTGTCAGGCTGCTTCATGGGCTTCACCCTGTTCCTTTACTCGTTATTATTTACGAGATGTGTCTTCAGGATCCATCACTCGTTCAGTGCTTGGACCCCAGCAGGCTAAATGAATGCTTATAGCACCTCATTAGTCTTGCTGAGATGGATTTCATCCTCTTGTGGATGATGTTTTTTAGTGGGGGCCCCTCTCTTATCGTGCCTGCCTCAGTCTTTAAGCCCTGTCTGAGGCTGAACGTCCCCCACTAGAGGAGATTTGATTGGGTGTGTCCATTGGTTGTGTTAACCAGTGGGGCGTAAACCCATCCAGCTGCGCTTTATTCCAATAGCAGCTAGCTTAAGGGCTAAGACTAGACAAAATAGAACGTTGGTTACGTATTGTAACCCCAGATTCTATGAGTCTAGTCGCAGCCCTTAAGCCACTGGCCCCACTGGTTATGATGGGAATAAGAGCCATTGGAGGTGAGCAGTGGGGTCACTGCGGTTATATACCACGAGGGGGCCCACTATTGGTGGGCGTACATTTAAGCTCTTCATGATTGGCTGATGCGGAGATCATCCTTCCAATAGCAGCTAGCTTAAGGGCTGCGACTAGACTCATAGAATCTGGGGTTACAATACGTAACCAACGGTCTGATGGCTTCTGAGTATGGACAGCTCTCTCTAACTCACACCACAGATGTTCAGGAGTATTCAGGTCTGGGGACGGAGATGGCCATTCCAGAATGTTCTACTTGTTCCTCTGCATGAGTGCCTTAGTGGATGTTGAGCAGTGTTTAGGGTCATTGTCTTGTTGAAAGATCCAGCCCCGGTGCAGCTTCAGCTTTGTCACTCATTCCTGGACATTGGTCTCCAGAATTTGCTGATATTGAGTGGAATCCATGCGTCCCTCAACTTTAACAAGATTCCCAGTCCCTGCACTGGCCACACAGCCCGCAGCATGATGGAACCACCACCGTGCTTTACTGTAGGTAGCAGGTGTTTTTCTTGGAGTGCTGTGTTCTTGGTCCTCCATGCATAACGCTCCTTGTTATGCCCAAATAACTCATCAACCCACCTTATTCCAGAATGAAGCTGGCTTTCTCTGAGGCAGCTTTCTGGATCCTTCCCTGAACCATGATGGTGAACAATTTTTGTTTTCAGCTCATGTGAGAGTTGTTGTGAGACCCCATGTTGCTGCTCTTCAGAGAATATTCAAATTCTGTAAATTCTATAAACTTTGTTTCACCTCTCAAATTTCACTGTGTGTGTTTGTGTGTGTGTCTCCTACGATTATATGTAACTGGACTAACTTTTTTGTAACCTTTGATCATAACAACTGGCAATTTAGGAAAATCATAAAGATTAACAAGGCTGCCCAAACTTCCACACCCCACTGTATAGTCAGTGTTTTCTAAGCAGCATAACTAAAGAGATGAGCCAAGCCATCGCTAACCAGAAGAGTTCTCCAAATGGAAAGTCTTATTCAAAGGAAACAGGGTGTCTGCCTCACGGATGGAAATGATAAGCTGAGAGGGGCCTGAGAACTGAAAGCTAAGGAAGCAGTAGTTTACAGGAGAGAAAAAGAGACAAATGCTTTGATGACAACATCTGGAGCAAGATCTTTATAAGAACATGGAGCTTTTTCTTAAGAGCTTTAGAAGTCAGTGGTAAAATGTGAAAGTAAACTAAATTTTACAGGGACCCAGTAAAGAGATGCCAAATCTGCAGAAATGCCTTTCTTCACATTCTGGATCAGCAAGCGGCCTCTATGGGAATGTTTAGGACATCTTGACAATAACAAATTTCAATAATCAAGTCTACAAGTAATACATGCATAAGGTAGTTCCTTTTCTGCATTGATTTGCCCTTCAAAGAGTCATCATCTTCATCCTTTGTGTCTGCAGGCTAAGGACAGCGATGATGATGAGGAGGTGGTCCAGGTCGACAGGGACCACTTCATGGATGAGTTCTTCGAACAGGTGAAACATGATGGCACAGTCAGATCCTTCCTAAAATCTGTCTAGGTCCAGATGTTGACCATGTGTGTTGACCTCTGACCTTCAGGTGGAGGAGATCAGAGGCTGTATAGAGAAGCTGTCAGAAGATGTGGAGCAGGTGAAGAAGCAGCACAGTGCCATCCTGGCTGCCCCCAACCCTGATGAAAGTAAGGCCACAACACAGACACACAACTTCAGACAGACACAACTATCCACACAGGGCCTAGTAAAAACTGCTGGTGATTCTTTAGGAATTTAATGAAACTATATGTGTGCACCTGTTGGTGTGTACTGAGCCCCCATCAGGTATAACATGGAACCGCTGCATGCACAGACACACAACCCCGCTATAACCTGGTTTGTGTCCAGAGTTCTGACTCACAGAAGTCTAACACAAAGGTGCTAAATATTTGAATTGTTTTTATTTCATAACCAAGCCCACGCCCCAACTGAGCCCTCAGGTTTTAAAATGGAAACTGTGTGATGAAAGGTCACATGACCATCACAAGCACCTCTGATGAACCCACTCTGTCTGGGTTCTGGCCCATTTTCTTTCACCCAGTTTTAGCCCCAGTGCATGTTTTTGGGCTGAAACCAGAAGACACTCAGTTCTGACCCGACAACAGCAGCTATGTGTTGGTTTGTACTGGCAGAATTCCACCGGTGCCGTCTCCTCGCCCCTCCTGACACCTGAGGCAGAACCGTCAGATTTAGAGGGTACAAGACAGCAGCTGCAGTGACCTGGACTCGTTGTGACTCAGCTGCAACGAGTCAATGTCAGCACCAAGGCCTGAAGCCAAGTCTGCGCAGTCAGATGCACCGTGCTAGAGAAACTGTCCAGATTTAATTGGACCTTTTAGAGGTTCTGCTCAATTCTAGGATCCAATCATTAGCTAGTTCACATCCACACCTATCAAAGACCAGTTTCATTCACTTTCTTTGGTGAATGCAGCTCTGGTCAGCGTAATTAGTGCAGACCGGACCTGGATGCTCTCAGAGGAACCTTAACCAGTTTTGTGACAGTGCTGTTGCCACCTTGCAGGTCTTCAGATCTGATCCTGACTCAGAATCCTTCGTCCTGTTTTATTCAGCAGTGCAGAAAACAAGGATGTCACTAAACTAAACAAGACTGCTGAGTAAAAATCTAACTAGGTTTTAAGTGGTGAGGCCATTTTGAGGCTGTAGTACCAAGAGTGTCCATCTGGGGAGGAGAAGACTGTCAGAAATAATGATCCTGACTCAGGGGGAAACAAAACAGAAGATAAAAAAGTATGATACCAGGTTGAGATT